GGTGCTATGGTAAATACTATTGTTTTAAATTTCATTGTTTTTTTTTATTGCTTCAAATATAGAAATAAAACTTTTATATATTGACTTTATAGTCAGCTTCAAATTCACATGCTGATGTCGATATTTCTAGATTCCTTTGTATGTTTCTATGTATTCACTTATGTATGCATGATATGTTTACTTCGTTTCTAATCTTTATGATCTTATTTTGCTTTTTCTTGCTTAATTGTACTGGCTAGGATCTCCAGTATAATGTCAACTAGATGTGGTGACAGTGTACATCTTGGCCTTTTTCCTGACATCAGGCGAAAAGTGTACAACATTTCACCATTGTGTGTTAGCTTGCTGTGGTATTTAAGCTGTCAAGATAGATTCAATAGCAAGAAACCAAATATTGGGATAGTTGATTTCATCTTTGTTTGAAGTTTTCAGTCTAACAGAACATTTCCTAGAGATTAAATAAAATTGTTAGTTTATCACTAATGTACCAGTCTTCTAGATTACTACAGTGTTTTCTGTGAACTTTGGCATTCGGGGCCCAATCTTTTTCTGAATTTTCTGAATTGCCTTTAAAGTTTCTATCTAGTATAGAACCTTTCTTGCTACCTAGCTATTACCTATAGCACTTATTCCCTTTATCTAGCAGGGTAAGTAGGAATTGAGAGTAGGATTTTAGGATTAAAATTCACACTAGGTCAGTAGTAGTTTATGGCTATTTTTTATATTTTTGGTATAGCAAAGGTGGTGATTTATTGAAGAACAAGTACATTCTCCCATGTAGGGAGAGGGAGGAGTTCCACAGAATGGACTCCCAAGTAGAGAGGGGGAAAGAGTCCCTGGACTGACTCCCATGTGGGGAAGGGGAACAGTCCCCTGTTTTTTAAATTTTATTATTTTATTTTTTTTATTGATTTCAGAGAGGAAGGGAAAAGAGAGAGAATAGAAGCATCAATGATGAGAGAGAATCATTGATTGGCTGCCTCCTGCACGTTCCCTACTGGGGATCAAGCCCACAACCCAGGCATGTACCCTTGACTGGAATCGAACCTGGGACCCCTCTTCCACTGGTTTACACTTTATCCACTCATCCAAGCTGGCCAGGGCTAGTCTATGGTTCTTAAGTGGGAAGGATAAAAGGAGGTTTAACAATTGAGAATTTAAAAGTCATCCATTGATTTTAATATCAATGGCAGTGTACTCTAGTATGATGAATAATTTAATATAACTTGGTAGAACTGATGAAAAAGCTTTAAAATTACTATTGATTTAAAAAAATATGCTTACTTTAAAAAAATTGTTTTCCATAAAAAAGTTGGAACCTGTGCTCTGTACCTTGCAGGTTGCTAGCTGATGTTACCAAACAATCGTCCCTTTGTGAGGTGTGAGGGTTATTTTCTGAGAATATTTACAAAGGGCTATAGGGGGAAATTCTAAAATAAAGAGTCAGATTAACTTAAAAAAAAACCAAAACACCCCAAAACACCCACATAAACAAACTACTTTGCCTACTTGAAAGGGAATAAACATTTATGGGCTACAGTTTTCGCTTTTCTGGAATGCCAAATTTCAGCTCAGAGCAAATTCTTCAGCAGAGCAATAAACCTTTGAAAATTGCTTTATAATGGAAATGCTGACAGACCATTAACTATAGTGGTGCAAATGCAGTGCTCTGACATACATAAGGTGTCCCAACTTGCTAAGTACAATAAACCATGTTGGTCCGTGTACATCCTGTAGAAGTCTATGTGGGTGTATATGTTTGCCATGTTATGCCACTTAATTATTAATGGGTAAGCTCAAACAATCACCTTTGACAAGTAGGAGAAGTATCATTTTAGAAGGAAAGTGTGATTTAGGCTCTGCTGATGCTGATAGCTCATTTTATGTTTGCCACACTGGAAAAGGCCCAGAGTAAATTTAACATGATACATTTAATCACCATTCCAATTACATTGCCACTGAAGCAAATCAGTGTTTTCTTACTACCAATTCATTGGAACTTCTAGGTCATAAAGTATCATTATTAGGCATATAGGAAATTCTCAGCTCAATGGAAATGTAGATCTGGGATTTTTCCAGTTGCTTTGAAGTAGTAATAGAGGCTGCTTGGATGTACATTTTCCCCATCTAAAATGAAAATTGGAATTTAAAGGAGTTGATATGACAAAGTGAGAATCCTATAATGCCCCAGGGAAGAATGAAGCAGAATGTTCACATCTAAAAGTAAAATAAGGAAATGATGAAAAGGGGTGGGTATTTCCACATCAGTCTGCTTAATGACTGATATATCCAGGTTAATAATAAGTGATGTGAGCTGAAACCAGCTTGGCTCAGTGGATAGAACGTTGGCCTGCGGACTGACAGGTCCCGGGTTCGATTCCAATCAAGAGCATGTACCTTGGTTGCGTGCACATACCCAGTTAGGGGATGTGCAGGAAGCAGCTGATCAATGTTTCTAGCTCTCTATCCCTCTCTCTTCCTCTCTGTAAAAAATCAATAAAATATATTAAAACAAAACAAAAAAACAGCACGAAAGAAAGTTTAAAAAAAAAAAAGTGATGTGAGACTATGTCTTGGTTCTTGGATATATTTACAGCACCCAACATAGTGCCTGGCACAGTGGGTGTCAGTAACTATTTATTGGATTTATTTGTGTTTATTTGAAAACTATTTGAGGCAAACTAAATATTAGATAAGATTACTAATATAATGTGTGTCTCACACACACATCCTATATAATAAAGAGCTAATATGCTAATTAGACCAAACAGTAGGATGACTGTCCAGACGACCTTCCTGTCGTAGCCAGGTCTGTGAGGGCTGGCCGGGGCTGCGAGGGCCGAGCCCCTTGCACGAATTTTGTGCATCAGGCCTCTAGTACATTCATAATATACATAATAAATTATATGCACAGTTAGAATTCATTAATAAAAGATTTCATAAAAGCATTATAGGTACATACTGAGTATCATAAATTATAGCAAAGATTCAAGTGTATTTTGTGTATGAAATCTAATAGATCTGACATCATAACAAGATTATAATTCAGTCTGACACTCCTGTACTCCAACATCACTGTTAATAGGTCCAGGCTTACCTGTTCTGTTCTGTTTGACTAAAAGTTGTTTTGTGTTGTTTTTGTTTGTTTTGTTTTTTTAAATTTTCTTTCCCTTGACTCAGGCAATTCCCAAATGTGGTTGCCTACCTGGGCTTTTAAGAAAACACGAGGATGCTTGGACATTAGCCCTCCTGCTGGTATATGTTTTTGGAGGGGAGGCTTTGCACTTTCACCATATGAAGAGAGCTGACCTAATTACCATAGGTTAAATCTTTAGTTGTGGGACATTCTCCCAGATTACCCCTCTCCTCTGCATTGGAGTCATTGGAGGCATGATGTGGTGAAAACAACACAGGCTATAGAGTTCAGCAGACTAGGTTCATCCACTAACGTGTTTTGTAACCTTTGGCAAATTATATACCCTCTTGGAGCCTCTGTTTTCTCATTTGGTGAAATGGAGTTGAAGGCATCTGGTATCGTGCTTACCACATAGTAGGCATATAAAAAGTGTTAGGTTCCACTGTTAATACATCTTCCATTTTTTCATTTGTATGTAATTATTGATGCTTAAATTTCCTTCCTTCCTTTGTTGTCTTTATTAAGTAGAGTCTTAAAGAAAGATCCACCTGTTAACGTAGCGTCTTCTTTGCGAAGGAGAAATAATGACCATTTCTTCTTGACCCAAGATTTACCCACTCCCGATTTTGTCACCTTATGATAGTTACTAACCATTAGGTCTTTGGTTTCATTACATTGGCATACAATCATAGTTATCAGGTAATACTTCCTGAGGAAGGCTTTCATTAATTATAAGATTTACTAAGGAGGCAGAGGAAAGTTGGTTTATTCCATGTGGAGGAGTGGCTTTGGGAAAAGACTAAAATATGGGGAAGGGAGTTGCTGAGGAATGAGGCTGTAAATAAGCCAGATTATTCAACAGAGTATTCTAGGAGTCTTTTGGCAGAAAGCTATAGGAATGAGTCTAGTACTTGAGAAAGAATCAGGAAGGGAAATAGCAATGAGAATAACTTAACAGACAAATTATTATTGCTTACCCACTGTGTTGTGCCTGGGCTGCTGTGTGATGCCACATACTGTGCTGTGCTGTGTACAGAGGACCGCAGGATGCCCTTTGGAGTTGGTTCAGTACTGAGGTCACACACTTCCTCTGCTCTTCTACAACTGTGTGATCTTGGGCAAGCTGCTCACCTCTCACATGGCATGCAATTATATGGCCTTGATTTCCTAAGACCTCTGAATTTAAGATCCCTTGTAGGAGGTGGTGGGAACATTTTCTCATTAAATTAGTCATTCCTTATAGCCAATTGTGTGATGTTTCCTGGTTGTACAAATGTTAATGTGATTTTAAAAAATGCATTTAGAAGCAAAGCAATATGATAATTTCCATCTCAGGGATGTTAGGAAGATTAAGATAATGCATGTCAATTGCCCACCCAAGTTATTTTTCCATGACTAGTAGCTATTATTAACACGAGGAAAGGACATGAAAAATAATTTTATTGGGAACATTTGAAGAAAGAATTTTAAACAGCAAGGTCATAATGTGACAGATCTTGAAATAGGAATGGAATGAGGGGAAAGAAGACAAGATAAAAGTTCAAGTAATGTTGCAGAGATAAATGAATGTGTATACAATGAGGAAGTCTTACCCCTTTAAAGATTAAGTTTTCATTGTAGTGATAACTTTGTGATAAATGTTCCAGTGTGAACTGTGGGAATGTGGTAATTATGTGGGAGAAATAACTGCTAATCACAAAAAATAATGCATTGGGTAACTCACAAATAAAAACTATTGTGTTTTGTTGTGGGGATGGTGTGGCTAATTGGGGACTTACTATTAGTTTATTAGTGTAGTTGCCTGACCAGTGATACTGAATTTTTAGCTCTTCTTTTTTTTTCTTCTTTTTCTTTTTTGCCTTAGGTCCAGCAAGACTATGAACCTCTGTTCCAAATGCTTTGCTGGTAAGTGCAGTAAAGGATTTTTTTATTTACTTTTATTTTTCTTTTTTTGGTTGTTTGTAAAACTGTCTACTTCATTTGGCCCTCCTTTGGGTTTATGCATTTTGTTTCTTTGCTTGTGTGTGAAAGCAATTTCTCTTCAACAAGGTGCTTTATATATTTTCCTAGGACTATTGAAATAGCCTTCCCGAATGAAATGAAATCTTATGTGTACTTGCATCAAACAAACTGTCCTCAGTGTATAATTGTGGTCTATAGTGGAATTGTAAAAACTCACATTGTACTAAGGGTAATATATGTTCATGTTTGATCTTGAATGATTAATGGTGAATGTTACTTTTACTAATGAGAATGCAAGAGAAAGAATATTTCATGTTGGAGTCAGGAAGACAATCACACTGAATTAGCCTTTTTAAATCCAGTCCTTCATTTAAGTTACCTTAGGTAAGTCACAATCTCTTTGGGCATTAGATTCGTCATTTGTAACATGAAGGGTTGGGGTTTGATATTTACCAGGTGTTCTTTTCACCCCAAATATTGAGTGGTTGACTTCTTAGATTTATGATTCCTTCATGGAGTTGAAGCCTTCATGTTTTCTTTCTTTCTTTCTTTTTTTTTTTTTTAAAGAACTTTATATCTAAATGATCTTGTGTAAAGCAACTAAGTCTTTACTACTTGAGATAATGATTTTTCTTTTAATCTTTTAATTGAGATATATTTAACTTAATATTCCTTTTTTATCACTTTATTTTTGTCAAAGATAAACAGAGCTGGACACTGGTTAAAGTGGTAAGGACAGCTCTTAATCAGTAATTTACGGCTATAATAGAAGGTCCTATGTGAACTGAACTCAACTTGGATTTGTGCAGAGGGACTAGGCATTTTATTTATTTATTTATTTAATATATTTTATTGATTTTGTACAGAGAGGAAGGGAGAGAGAGAGTTAGAAACATCGATGAGAGAGAGTCATCGATCAGCTGCCTCTTGCACACCCCCCACTGGGGTTATGCCCGCACCCAATGTACATGCCCTTGGCCGGAATCGAACCCGGGACCCTTCAGTCTCCAAGCCGGTGCTCTATCCATTGAAACAAACCGGTCTTGGCGGGACTGGGCACTTTAAAAGGTGAGGGACTAGACAGGTTTTGCTATTTTGGCCCAATAGAGTCAGGGAAGTGACAAATTACAAAGGGTTGATCAGTGTAAATAAGGTGGGGCAGTGCCTCTTAGTTGACAACCATGGAAGTTAGGATTCTGCAGAGATTGAGGGATGAGACCCTCTCCTTCCTGATGACCACCTTTTAAAGAATGGCTGTCATGTCCTTGAGGAAAAACTTCAGAATTGTAGGAGAGATCTATACACATCTCCAAGGGTCACGGATAATTCACAGTTGTAAACTCTTTTTAGTGAGTGCTCTAAAATAGGGTGCTCTGAGGGCTCTAGTCAGATGTTGGTTATAACAAACCTTAAATTCTTCTGGCAACCCTAGGCAGGCACTTACAGAGGGGCTATGGTCACCCCTAGGGATGGGACTTTGAGCTGTTAGAAACGATTAGTGTTTGTTTAAATCTTTTACTGTTGGGGGAGAGGAGTAGATGAAATCATTTGTGTTAAGAGTCTATAGTTTTTATAGGCCAAGGTTGAGGCCTACTTGAGAAAGGGCTCAAGAGGATCCTAGTTAGAGTTTGGTAAGAGGAAGAATCTGTCATTTTATATCTTCTATTCATTATGCCGTTTGGCACCGAAATAATCAAAGTACCGTCTAAGCTTTAGACCTTTGTATTTATGTCTAACCTAGGCGGTAAGTGAGAAATAGTTGAGAGGGCTGGGAAAACTGGCAGTTTGTATCTGTTAATGTTTAGAATTTGTCAAATACTTCAGATCTTTAAAAGGAAAGATATTGGTAAGTTTGGTTTTTAACTTTTAGCAGTATCTGCTATGTTAAACAAATGTATTATGCTTTTTTTACTCTTCATATCTACAATTTACAGGTATGAAGAGATGTTTCCTCACTGATGAGAGTTTAATTTTATAGTAAAAATGAAAGTAGCAATAAGACAAAATGTTTTGTGGTTATTCCCATAATAGGGTTGCAAATTCTTATATCATAGCAGGTAAATTAAAAATTTTTGCATTAACCTGCTGCTCTTACTGCTTGGAACTATAATCTCTTTTCTGCTTTTATTCCCTGTTAGAAGTTAAGAATAGAAGTGGCTTAATTCTAGTAATCCTTGAAAGGGAAAAATTATAAGTTACTGCTGAATTTTGAGGATCTGCAATAAGAAGAACAGAGTGAATCTGAAATTTTTAAGGTTGTTTTCTTCTAGACATTGTGGTGTATCCATCATTGAAATGTATTAAAATACCCACTCCAATTAGTTATTTTATAGGTGAGGTTTGGGCAAGATAGTGGAATCAGTGTGCTTCTCATACCTTGATTTTGCAAATCACTTTTTTCCAGAAGAAAGGCAGCTTCTGGTTTTAAGATGAAACATTTTTTTCCTCAAGAAAAATTATTTTAAATATGATAATGTTACATGCAATAAACAACAATTATTCAAGAAAAATGATCTTACATATAATATTACATGCAATAAATATTAATATTTTAAGAATAAAAGGAATTTAATTATAATGTTATCAAAAATGTACTAACATTAGTATGATATCACAAAAATTGTAGGAAATATTAAAAATCTGCAAATAACAGGATTACTTCTATTATATTCCAGTATATATTTTCCTCCTCTGGCTCTATTTTTGTTCATCACTTCATGATGTTCATTATATTCCACAAATGACTGAGATCATGTGATATTTATCTTTCTCTGACTGGCTTATTTTACTTAGCATGATGCTCTCCAGGTCCATCCATTCTACGCAAATAGTAAGAGTTGCTTCTTGTTTACAGCAGCATAGTATTCCATTGTGTAGATGTACCACAGTTTTCTAACCCATTCATCTGCTGATGGGTGCTTAGGCTGTTTCCAAATCTTAGCTATTGTGCCCATAAATTGTGCTGCTATGAACATAGGGGTGCATATATCCTTTCTAATTGATGTTTCTAGCTTTTTGGGATATATTCCTAGAAGTGGGATTATTGGGCCAAATGGGAGTTCCATTTATAATTTTTTTAGGAAACTCCATACTTTTGTGAATGACCCATGTGCATTTGAGAAGGATGTATATTCTGCTATGTTGGGGTGAAATGTTCCATAAAGCTCTGTTAAATCCATCCAGTATATCTTTTAGAGTCTATATCCTTGTTAAGTTTTTGTCTGGAAGATCTGTCCAAGGAAGTTAGAGGGGTGTTAAAGTCCCCTACTATGACTGTACTGTTGTCAATCTCTTCATTAAAGTCCTCTAGAAGTTTTTCATATATATATATGAAAGGTTGAGGCCTACTTGAGAAAGGGCTCAAGAGGATCCTAGTTAGAGCTTGGTAAGAGGAAGAATCTGTCATTTTTTATCTTCTTATATATATCTTCTTATTTATATATATCTGCACCTATATTGGATGCATAAATGTTTACCAGGGTTATATCCTCTTGTTGAATTGATACCTTTAGTATTATGTAGTGACCTTTGTTGTCTCTTGTGATGGCCTTTATTTTAAAGTCTATTTTGTGTATGTGAATATTGCTACTTGAGGTTTTTTTTTTCCTTTTCCATTTGCATGGAAATTTTTTTTCATCCCTTCACTTTCATCCTGTGTGTGTCTTTTGTTTTGAGGTGGGTCTCTTGTAGACAGCATATAGTTGGGTCATGTTTTTGTATTCATTCAGCTACCCTACACCTTTTGACTGGAGCACTTAATCCATTTACATTTAGGGTTATTATTGAGAGGTACTTATTTATAGCTATTTTAATTCTATGTGGTTAGGTTTCTCTCTCTGTTTCTTCTTCTCAGCAATCCCTTATAGCAATTTCTTCAGCATTTCTTGTAATGCTGGTTTGGTGGTGATGAACTCCTTTAGCCTTTTTTGTGTGTCTGATAAGCTCTTTATTTGACCGTATATTTTGAATGATAGCCTCGCTGGATATAGTAATCTCAGTCCAGGTCCTTGCTTTCTATTATCTTGAGTACTTCATGCCATTCCCTTCTGACCGTAGAGTTTCTGATGAGAAATCAGGTGTGTCAGCCTTATGGGAACTCCTTTGTAGGTAACAGGTTTTTTGTTTTATTTTTTCCTCTTGCTCCTTTTAAGATTGTCTCTTTGTCTTTAATTTTTGGCATTTTATGATGTGTCTGGTGTGGGTCTAATTGGGTTCTTCTTGTTTGGGGTTCTCTGTGCCTCCTGAACTTTATGACTTTTTCTTTTACCAGGTTAGGGAGTTTTCTACCATTATTTCTTCAAACACATTTTCTAATTCTTTCTTCCTTTCTGCCTCTTCTGGCACACTTACTATTCTAATGTTGCTACGTTTCACTTTGTCCTGCAGCTCCTTTAAGCTGTCCTCCTGTTTTTTAATTGTTTCTTTTCTTTTCTTTTTTTAAATAAATAAATCTTTATTGTTCAGATTATTACAAATGTGTTCCTCCTCTCCCCCCCAATTACTCCCCTCCACCAGGTTCCCACCCCACCCTCTGTCCTTTCCCCATCTCCCATTGTCCTCATCCATAGGTGCACAGTTTTTGTTCAGTCTCTTCCCGCACCCCCATTCCCCTTTTCCCCAAGAATCGTCAATCCACTCCCCTTCCATACCTCTGATTCTATTATATTCACCAGTTAATATTGTTCATCATATTTTTTAATTCCCTTGGTTTTTAGATTCACTTGTCGATAGTTATGTATTTGTTGTTCATAATTTTTATCTTTCTCTTTCTCTTCCTAAATAATCCCCTTCAGCAATTCATATAATTCTGGTTTGGCGGTGATGAACTCTTTTAGCTTTTTATTTTTTATTGGTGAAGCCCTTTATCTGGCCTTTGATTCTGAGTGATAGCTTTGCTGGGTAGAGTATTTTTGGCTGTAGGTTCTTGCTATTCATCACTTTGA